TGACCGTGCCAGAAGAGGGAGGGGCAAGATGGCACATTTTCAATATTGGAAAGAGACAGCCTTGCTCTATGTTTTCCCAAGGGGCAGAACTGGGAGCTGTGGGGAAGATTTAGGATTCATATGTGGCTTCTAAGCCACAAGAGCAGTCAAACAGTGGAGATGGTGGGTTCCCCTCTCTCTGGAAGACTCCAAGCAAAGACTCTCTTGTAGGGAATGGCATGATGGGGAACTGGATGAGGTATGGGGTGGTTGGTTTCTGATCTGTGATCGAGACAACAATCCAAGATAATTCCACAGGACCCATGATGAAAAATGCTGTTGACTTTCAGAGAGAGAACTGATGATGGCTGCTAACCCTTCTTCCTGTGAGATGCCAAGAGACTAAAAGACAGGACACTTGGAACTCTTCCACCACAAAGACTATCTTAGGGAGCTCACTGATGGTTTGTTCAACTTCTTTTTCTGAGATATGATTCTTTAAGGATTCTTTCTTCTTCTGTTAATCTGAGTGATTTGTGTTTTTGTAAATATTCATTTCATTTAGACTATCTGATTTATTGGCATATAATTGGGCAAAATAACTCCTAATAACTGCTTTAATGCCATCTTCATTGGTGGTGCATTCACCCTTTTCATTTTTATGGCAGTAATTTGGTTTTCTTCTTTTAATCAAATTAACCAATGGCTTATCTATTTTATTGGTTTTTCATAAAACCAGCTCCTGGTTTTATTTATTCGTTCAATTTCCTGAAACTTTCAAGTTTATTAATGTCTCCTTTGAACCCCCAAGACTATCATGCAAAGACATTAGTTCATATTTTTATGGCACTTGATTTCTTTAAAAACATCATGAAGAAGGCTGGCTCCTAGAACCTCCAACTGTTTCCATTGGGTAGTTCCGGGCCACCGAGTTGATTGATGGCTTTCGCGAAGATTGCCCTACAGCAAAGGATTTCCCCGCTGCTTTTCCAAGTCATTGAGAGGAAACGGCTGTCACTCCCCCCAGAGGCAGCTTAGCAACCACATTCACACTGCAGTGAAACCACAACAAATCAATAAACCGGAGAGGCATGTTTATTGGGGAAATAGCAACGTAGGCTTTAGTTGTCAAGGATTGTTGAATTTTCCTGATGCTTGAGGAAAAAGAAGATAAAGGAAAATTCCTTCCTGCTCCCAGGGCGCCCTTAGCTTGGGCTCTGGGGCGACAGCCAAAGCACTTTGTGTTCCTATCTCTAGCATTGTAACAGAAACCAGAAAAGGATCCAGTCCTTTCTACAGGACTTCTAATCCCCACCATTCCACTACAAACACAATAACAGAGGCTAGCATTTGAATAATCTCTAAGGTTTACAAAACACTTTCTCATTAGATCCTTTCCACAACACTGGAAGGTTGGGACTATTTTTAGGAAACTAGTCCGAGAGGTTAAGTGATTTGCCCCCAGGCACACAGCTATTATGTGCCTGAAGCAGGAATTGAACTCAGGTCTTCCTGACTCCAAATCCATTGCCTCTAGACATTATCTCCAAATAATGGCTCACTCTTGGCATAGTCACTAGCAATTTCAAATTCTGCAAGAGTTTTTATGATCTATTGGAAGGTTGAGGCCAATGTCATAGCACAGTAGTCATTTCAGTTTATTGTTTTGTGATTTAGTCATTTCAGTCTGGGTCTCTGTGACCCCATGTGGGGTTTTCTTGCACTGATACTGGAGTGGTTGGCCATCTCCTTCTCCAGTTCATTTTACAGATGAGGAAACTGAGGCAAACAGGGTGAAGTGACTTGTCCAGGGTCACACAGCTAGTGTGAGCTAGTGCCAACTTTGAACTTAGGTCCTCCTGGCTCCAGGCCTGGTGCTCTACACTGTGCCACCTAGCTGCCCCTTAGATTACTATTGTTAAATGTAATTAAGGGAAGAGGCACTTTTTTTTTTAAGAGATTGGGACAGTGGATAAGAAAGCTGTACATAGCTGCTCATACATTTCCCTTTCAGAGAAAGCAGAGGTACAATCCTAAGCAATAAAAGTATGCTGGAGGGACAGGAAGTTCTCAGCCCAGCAACATTTACTGGGCACCTACTATGAATGAACGACTAAATGAAAAAAGCCTGTCAGGCACCTGCAATGTGCTGGGCACTGTGCAAGGGACTTGAGAAGGGGGAGAGGTCTGAAGAAACCAGGGCATGCTGAAGGAACTTGTTGTCCAGCTTGGGGTTTTGGAAGGCCCACCAGAAGCTGGCCCAGAGGGATCCAGAGGCCTGGCCGGCCCTAGCAGAGTGTCTGCCAGGGGGGCTGAGGCTGGTGAGGGAGACTAAGAAGTCAGGAGGATTCTCAAGAGGATTATGGAAGCCTGGCACCCCGGCTCGGGGTGGGTGGGATGCTGATGCTGACCCCAGACAGTGGCAGAACAGCCCTGCTCTCCCTCTGCTTCTGCATTCTTTGCCAGGCTGAATGAACGCTCTTTGGTCTGGAAAGAACAATATGGGGGGGGGCACTGAGAGGTCCCTTCTGCCCCTGGGGACTTCAGGGCAGAACTGGGAGAACTACGACCTTGGCTTCTAGAAAACTGCCGGGTGTGATTCTCGAGCCACCGTCAGCACCCTGCGAAGGATGGCGGAAGACAGGGGAGGTGCTGCAGCCCTGGAGAGGCGAGGGCGCCTTACTTTTCAATTCAGGGAAGAGAACAGATGCCGATAACTGCAGGCCTATGAGTTTCCTTCAATTCTTGGCAAAATTCTAGAAATGTCTAGAAAAAGAATCACTGGTTTTAAATACGCCACTAAGATGAAGTCAGCCAGATTAACTGCATTTCCTTTTTAAAAGCAGCATTTGTTACCCAGATGGTGATAGCGGAAAGGGGGCTGGATGTGCTGGTGGGAGACCCGGATTCAATGCTGGCCCTGCCACTCAGAATCTGTGTGACCGTGGGCATGTCACTTACCATTTCTAGGCTTGTTTCCTCATCTCTAAAATTAGGGTACTGAATTCGATGTCTCTGATGTCCCCCAAGCTCTAAACCCATGAGCTGATGGCACTTTCCTGCTAGAAATGCCATAGACATTACTTTCCCTGGTTTTAATAGAGTGTTTGACACCGAGAAAGTGATGAAGAAGTGCAAGTTAGAGGACCGAGGAAAGGAGGCAGGTGTGGGTTTGACCACAGCACAGGGTCTAGATCTGGAGCCGAACGGACAGCTGAACCCAGAGAACTTCCTCAGTCTTTGGAGAACTCTGAAGGTCCCTAGAGAAGTGCTTAGGAGATCTTTCCTTAGGCTTGTGCTGGTTAATGTTTGTATAACATGGATCCGATTAAGAAAAAGACGCGGGGGGAGGGGCCTTATAAAATTGAGGAATAGTTTACTTACTAGATGACAGTCAGCATTCCATTCCAGGATGTTCAAAGCCTGGACAATATATACTGTCATTGCTTAAAAGAAGCTTAGAACAAAGGACATAGAACATAGAATAGAGCTAGGAAGGATGTTAGAATGTAAGATGTGGAAGGGATCATTGAACATTAGAAAGGATTTTAAATTGAAAAAAGATCTATAAAAAAGTGTTAGAACCCTAAGGGAACATACAACATAGAATATCAGAACTGAAAAGGAGCTTGGAACATAGAATGTCAGAGCTGGAAGGGATCTTCCAGCTGGGCCAAACTGAACAAAATGAAATTGAATGGTGATAAATGAGAAGGCATATTTGGGTTCAAATAATTAACTTGACAAATACGAGATGGGGAAGCCATGGGCTAGACAGCAATTTGTCTGAAAAACCTATAGAGGTTTTAATAACACTAGCTAGCATTAATGGTCTGGGAGTTCAGCATGGGTCAATAGCATGATATGGCGGTCAAGAAGGCGGTTCAGTAGATAGTCAAGACCACCTGAGTACAAATCCTGCCTCAGACACTTACTAGCCGTGTGACTCTGGGCAAGTCATATGAGCATGAGGAGCTCAGATGTGAACCCAGGTTTTCCTGACTCCAGGTCTGGCACTCTATCCACTCTGGTGCCACGCTGTTGCCTTGAAATGGGGCGATAGCCTCTGTGCGCTGGACAGACTGCTCCTGGTATTCTTCTAGCTCCACATTTCAGCAAAGACACTAGGAGCTGGAGCATCAAGAGGAGAGCGGCCAAGATGGTGACAAGCCTGGAGTCTTTCTTGGTCAGAGGGGGACTGGTGGAAGCGAGTGGGATATCGAGACTGGAGGAGGTTACTCAGAGCAGGCAAGGTTGGAAGCATTGGAAAGGCTGCTATGTGCAGGAGGATTAGCCTCCTTCCATTTGGTCCCCGGGGGCCATGAATGGAGGTTTACACACTCAGGGTTTGACGTGATAAAAGGCAACACTTCTGAACAAGAAGAGCAAACGCTTTCCAAGTGGAATGCGCTGTGGTGGTGGTCCTCGTTTGTCTTTCATTCCGGAAGAGGACCCCGGCTTTGGGAAGGTGGTGTCATGCACGACTTGCAAGTGAACTGGATTTGAGGGTGAGGTAGCGTTAGACTGCAGTCACCGGCCTCACTTTCTCCTCTGGAGCCATCCGGTGGCGATGGTCTTCTTCTGGGGAAGGGCTTGAAGCCAAGGCCGGCTGAGCTCCAGCTAGGACGATGGGGAGGAGTTTTCTCTTCCAATGTTTGGGAGCAGGACGGCTGATGCCTGGCCTGCCACTGACCACACACTGGGAAGCAGACCTCAGGCCAAGGGCACAGGTCCTTGGAGAGCCAAACAACTTGGGAAAAGGCTTGTGTCACTACCCATTAAGAGAAAACCCTGCATAGCTACTTTTGTCCAGGGCATTTTCACATTCCTTAGAGACTCCCATGGCTCTCACTTTAACAAGAGGGGCTTGCCCTCCCTCCAGTGGTGTGTGCAGTGCTTCTCCGTATTCTCTGACAAGGATCTCCCCAAGTGCTGGAGGCCCTCCCCCGCCCCCCAGGAAACTGTCAAGGATACAGTGCAAATGATTCCAATAAGGAACAAAATGTATAGAAAGAAAGCAATGTGGCTTCAAAGGGAGAATTTATTGATGAGCTCAAATGTAAAAAAGGTAATTTGCAGTTAGTCAACAAGCATTTATTAAGCACCTAATGTGTGCCTCTGCTGGGCATACAAAGAACAAGCCTTGCCCCTGAGGAGCTCAGTCTAGTGGGGAAACATTTCTGGCCTAACTGTGGCCAAGTGTGTGTGTGTGGGTGTTTGTTGGCATTCAGACCCTCCCTCAGCAGGGCCCTCTGCCTCAGACAGCAGGCTGCATTGGGATTTCCGCATGTGAGGGGCCAAGAATTGCTTCCTCCCTTTCCAAAGCCTGGGGGGTGGGCCAAAGGAGAACCTTTCAGACCCCAGCCATTCCTTCCCTGTTGGCTTTCTGAGCAGGGGTGGCCACCACCAGCAGGCTTTGACTGCCCCAGCTACTGGCCAGGGCTGCAGACTGACCCCGAAGCCTCACTAGAACCCAGGTGCTGCTGCGGCGGACCCTCCCAGGGGACTGGGAGACAGCTAGGAGGCTTCATCCCCAGGATGCCTGAGGACCAGGACTGAGCTGACTAGTGCCCTCCTCTGCACTGAGACAATCCTGTTATTGCTTCCTGCAGGACACTGGGCCAGGGGAGACTGTGGACAGCTCGCTGGCTGGCGCTGGGGAGATGACCTCACTCCAAGAGCCACAAGAGCCTATGGCGGCCACTAGCATCCTCGTGCACAGGGAAGGATGCAGACGTGGGGGATGTGACAGTCAGGCCAACGAGGCGGCGATGGGCTCGAGATAAGGAGGGGCCTGCATGTGTCTTCTGTCTCCAGGCCAGGCACTGTCCACCATGCCATGCTGTGGCTCAGAGAGGGGTCAGTCACACAAAATCCCAGAAAAGTCTTCCCATCTTGTGGTCGCTGATGGCCATCAAAATCCCTGCCCCATTTTGTTTGCTTAAATGAAAAGGTAACAAGGTCCACCCTGAAGTTAACCAAAGATTGCAGGTGGGTCTATGGTTTTTGGGTGGTTCATCCCCAGATTGACCTAATTTTGTGCGGCAGCAGAGGGCAGCTAGAAGAACATAAGGACTTCCTGGCAATCCGAGCACCCTGAGAAGGTCTCACGAGGTAGTGAGTTCCTGTCACGGAGAAGATTCAAACGGACGAGGACGTAGGCAGCTGCCGGGGTGAGGCACGCCAACCAGGAGGCCATCTTCTAATTCCATGACTAATTCGGTTGGAGTAAAGCTAAGCAAGCCAATGTCAGGAGTGGCATTTACCATTGCTCCCATTTTTACCGGGGTGGTTTGGGGTAGCGTGCCAGAATGGCTGGAGAACACTTCGGCTCGAGTCTAAGATCACCAGGTACTGTGTGGCCACAGGGATCTTACCTACGTGATGGGGATCATAATCTTGCTGTGACCTACTTCCCTGGGCTGCTGCTGAGTGATGCGACTTACAAGCTGTAACGATCTAAAGAAATGTGAGTGGTGCTCACCTACGCATGGGCAGAATAAAAGTTCCTATGATTCAGGTGCGCCAGATTTGGGGCTGGGCAGATAAATTTCTGACTCCGTGATGAGATAAGTAGTAAGGACATAATGGGACAAATGTGTGCCTAGCCTGGTCCACTTTTGTTATTAAGGCTGAGAATCACAGTAACTACCCAATGGTGGTGTTATAATGAGAATGCGCTTGCAAAAGCGCATTAGACTCATAATTACAAAAGAGCTGGGGGAAAACTCTCCTGGGATTGAGGGATTCCCCCCCCCCACCCCAATTCCTCATTCATAAGACGAGGGAGCAGAGACCGCCATTACTTGATCAAGACAGCAGGTACAGTGGGAAGTGAAGGGCAGGTGCAGAGGGTGGGGACACGGAGAGACAAGCCTCTGCTGCATCAAGTTGGAATGTCTTCAAGCGCGTCAGTAACAGCCGAGTAGACTAAAGCAGAATTCAATAAATATTTTGGTCCGACTGCTGATAAAATAAAGTGAGTTCTATAAAATGGATTTAAAAATATTATTTGTGATGAAAAAGTGAAGCTAGTTTCCTGGTCGCTCGACGTTCTGCAGGATGTCCGAGGACAAGCCCAGCTGCTCCACGATGCTGGCAGTTTGCTCTACAATCCAGGAGAAGCTCAGCTCTGCAGGACACGTCCCCCTCTGTGTTCTATGACCTGGAGAATGGGGACCGCCGCTGGAGCCGGCCTCCTGGCGGCAGTCTGTGTTCAAGTCGGCACCAGACCTCTCCAGGCTTTCCTCTTCGCTCTTTTCACGGGCTGGGGCTGAAGGACAAAGGTCCATGTCCTGGATGGAATCCAACAAATCTGCCACGTGGGGCTGGGGAGTGACGGCCGTCAGGCGCTGGAGCGTCGACTGCTCACACTGGCCCACCGCGTCCAGAAGGTCACTCAGGGGCTCGATCCAAGGTGAGCCACTGTCCTGATGGCCACACCAGGAAAGCAGAGCGCTGGGCGAGACAACAGTAAGAGTTACAAAGCAGAAAACGTCCAGGCGATCCCAGAGATCCTGCCGACTCTGGTGGAAGTGACCGCTGTGTGCCAAAGACAGAGCCTGTATTTTGGGGACAGGCAAAGGCTTTTTCTTTAAATCTGTGTAATATAGCTAAATCTCATGATCCTCTGATTTTCAATGCCAAATCTTACTAACAGATTTTATTTTCCCTTATGAAATGGTACTTTATTAGAAGCCGTCAGGGGGCAAAGTAGACTAAAAAAGAATAACATTTATTTAGTACCCACTGTGTGCCAGGCACTGTGCTCAGCACTTTACAAATATGATCCCATGTGGTCCTCACCACAACTCTGGGAGGCAGGGGCTATTATTAACCCCATTTTACAGATAAGGAAACCCAGGCAAGCAGAGGTCAATTGACTTGCCCCCGTCACAGAGCTAGGACGTGCCTGAGGGCAGATCTGAACTCAGGTCTTCCTGATCCCAGGCCCAGAGCTCTCTCCACTTCACCCTGAGCTGAGTAGCCCAACAAAGGAGCAGATACAAGAAAACCAGCCATGTTCCTAATCCTCCTTGACTCCCTCCCCCCCAAACAGGAACTGAATTTCTATGGCACAGGAAGACAACATGTTCATTTGTTTTTAGATACTTCTTCCACAACACTTTCAAGTAAGTTTCCAGGCTGAAATAGTTAAGCGTGAAGCTGCTCACAAATTATGGCTCCCTAAAAGGAAACAGGTTCTTGGGGGTTACCTTAAGGTTCCTCTGAGCTGCCCATAGCTAACAACGACTTCAGCACCCTCCTTATAACCTTGATTGAAGCCCTGCTGAAGGACAGCGGCTTTCCCAGCATCCACACCATCTCTATAACCTTCCTAGAAGGCAAGCAGAAAGAAATCACCGCTCTTAGGAGCAGCTGCAAGGGAAGAGCATTTCCAAGCACTGAGCTCCAGACCCACTCTAGAAGATAGGAGGGGGTCCGGGCCCCTGTGGAGGTGCTCGTGTGGCCCACTGCCTCCTAGTCACTGGAATCATGGGGGGGAAGTCCTAGGCCCTTTTGAGTATCCCTGCGAATGTCCCTTCCCAAAGGGTGCCTGGGATGGGAGCAGGACACCCACAGTCAAAGGGGCCTGTTTCCCCAGGCTCCAGGGGATAAATAGTATATCTTTCTTCAAGGGCTGTGACCAGACCATGCCTGAACTCGTGTTCAGTTCTGGGAACAACATTTTAGGAAGAACAGAGAAAGGCCCAGGAGAGTGCAGAGGAGCGCGGCTGGTGCCCGGTAAGGGGGTCAGAGTCACGGCCTCGGAAGGACCTCAGAACTCATCTAGCTAAACCCTGACTTGAATGGGCATGGGATCTATGATATCCTTAGGAAGTGACCACTCAGCATCGACTGAAAGAGCCTTTTCCCTTGCCCCACCACCAAACCAGTGATGGGGACCTCAGCACCTTTTGGGCATCTTTCCCCTCTGGAGAGCAGTAATCATTAGGACAAGGAGCTCAAACAGGCATCTCGGGACCCTGCACCCAATGGGGCCCTGGCAGGACAAGGAGAAGCCTTACAGAGAGCCACACGTATCTGGTGATCACCCGGGCACTGGCCTTCCTTCTCCAGACGAAACTATTTTCTAATCTTCAGGCACCCCCCCAACCCGCTGGAGGCCAGAATTCTGGGGATCTGCCAGGCAGCAGCCCTGAGAATGCTTGAAGGTGAAGACCAGAGAACAGATCCACAGAGAAGGCCCCACCCCTGGGTTGCAAAGGCCCCTGCTCCTACTGGTGGCCCAGGAGAATGAGGAGGGAGGGAGGAAGCAGGACCGCCGGCCTCCTGGTGCCTTCCCCGGGACCACAGGGTGAGGAGCGTGCACGTGCTTTTATTTGTAAACAAATGCCTCCAGGTCCGCCTTCACCCCCCAGGGCGTGCGCGCACTCCTAGCTCTTAGGAGAGACCTAGAGGAAGCAGGGAGAGGGGTGGGGGCCGGGAGGGGGCCCTGAAACATCAGGATCAAGCCAGGGAGCCAGGCCCAGAGGAGGGGCTGGCCGCCACGTGCAGGCATCAGGCATCCAAACCCCGCCCCTGAAACATCTTATTGGCTACGCGACCGCACACGCCACTTCCGCTCCCAGCCCTCCGTCACCCCCCCCACCCCTGCCCCCCGCCTCTCTGAGCTGCCGGGGCTTCCGGACGGGCCTCACCCGCACGCGCCGCTCCACGCGGTTCTTCCACTCCCGCTGCGCCGGTAGCGTCTCGTCTGCCTCGTCGTCGAATACGTCCCCGTCCTGCCCGGGTCTCGCGCACGCCGCCCTCAACCACGACATCGCGACCCCGCCACAACCGGACCCGCCCCCGGAAGTGCCCGCCCCTGCTTCCGTGGATCTTGGGGCGAGTCCCAGAGCCACACCCTTTCGTTTTCAGAGAGCCGCCGGGAAGTCCCCCAATGGTGTGCGACTGCACGGCCATCTTTGGAGAGGGCAAGGCACTACGAATGTTCTTATGCTTATGCCCCGGAAGGAACCGAAGTAGGAACGCTTGTTCTATGGTGGCCATATTCGGAGAGGGCAGGCACTGGCGCACTTGCACTGTGACTGCCATCTTTGTGAAAGGCAAAGTCGGCTATGTCCCATCTCTCTTTCTTCACTGCTCTACGCATGTGCAGAAAGGAGTAGTTGGTGACCAGAGTTTTTTTTTCTTCTGTGATCGCCATCTTTGTAAAGGTCAAGGCCCTCTCTGTCCCTCCCCTCCCTCTTTACAGTTCTGCGCAGATGCGGATGGGATCTTGGTGGCGGGGTAGACAGAAGAGTTTGCTTCAGGGTCGCCATCTTTGTGAAGGGCAATCGCTGCTCCACCTCCCCCTAGCGGAAAGCGCTTTTGCGCATGCCTAGTAAGGACCCGGCCGGCCACACCAGCCCCATGACGTCAGCTATCCTTTTTAACCCCCTCTTGCCCCAGCAACTGCTAGGAAGGAGGGGGAAACTGAGGCTCAGAGCCCTGGGTCATACGCGTAGGCAGCCTTAGAGGCAGATCTGGAGGTTCGAGTCCTGCCTGGTTGCTGTGAGCCTGGTGGAGGGAGTGCCCTCTCCCGGGAAATCTCTTCTACCCGTGGAGCTCCATCCTAAGCATTAATTCAGCGAGGATTATTAAGCCTACTATGTGTCCGGCCTTGTGCTAGGTGATGGGGGTAACGGACAAAAGGGGAGCGGTCCCTGCCCTCGGGGAGCTTATGGTCTATATGGGGGAAGCAGCGATGAGTGAACACAGGGCGGTGCGGATGGTCTTCCTGGAGGAGGTGTCTGGGGCTGAGCTTTGATTCTTCCCCTTGATGCGGTTTAGGGTGCTCAGAACCCTGAAATGCAAGGGTTCAGGGCGGGTCTGCCTCGAAAGAATTAGGTCACGCAAGCCTTCTTTCAGTCAGAGTAGCCAGTTTATTGTGCCGTGGGTGGGATTCTAAGAATCTTCCAAATTTAATGGGGGTAAGATTGGTGCCTTTATACAGAAAAAGGCTGGGAAGGTCTGGATGGGATCCCGGAGTAGCAAGTAGCCTGGGGTGGTTCAGGGGCAGCCGATGATGGGAGTTAAGGGGTTGGCCCAAGATGCTTAAAAGGATTGTACTGGGATGGTGATGCCGCAGGCAGGCGCCAGGGCCTGGGCAGCTGAAATGTAGAAGAAAGTTCAAGGACTGAGGGTCTTTTCCTTTTTGGGGTTCAGGTTCCATAACCCCATCACCCTCAGTCTTTTTTGCCTTTTCAGGGTCCTTCTGCTCAGGCACTACTTCCTCTAATCCCTTCCCAACTGGACGCATTCTCTCCAGCTTCATCATCTTTCATCATCCCTGCCTTGTGATCATTCTACCCCACCTGGCATCACACTTGTTCTGTTTTCATAAAAATCTCCCTTACGCACCCTTGCCGAAGCATGTGAGTTCCATGAGGGCAGAGGGTAGTTTTTACCCATCCCCCCATCATGTGTCCTCCATCCTGCTGACCTCTTCTAGGTTTTCCCACTGAATGGAGTCCAGTGAAATTGAGTGTTAGGCTTTGTTCAACTTGGGCTGAATGAATTCTCCCACTGGGATTTGAGAGGACCACAAGCAGGAGTCTGTAAACTGGATGCATTTGGGGGGTGACTGTTCGCTTCTCAGTTTACCGGGTGATAAATTCATAGAGGTGGGGGAATCTGCCTTGGTTCTCTTTGTAGCCCCCAGGGAGCCTGGCCCTCAGTGATACCTTATGTGATTGATAACTCTGAGCTTTCCTGTCAGGGATCTCGCTGGAGCCTCCTAATAACCCTTTGAGTGGGACAAGGATTTGATATAGTTTGGAGGAGGAGGTCTCAGGGCTCAAAAGAGAACAAGTTGTTGGGGCAGCTGGGGGGGGCAACAAGACCCGAGGTGACACTGGACAAGTCATTTCACCTGTTTGCCTCAGTTTCCTCCAATGAAAAATGGGGAGAATAACAGCAGCTCCCTCACCGTGTTGTGACAGGAATGTAGTAGGTACTTAATACATGCTTATTTCCTCCCCTACACAAATGATTTCCCCAGGGTCACACAGCTAGTCAGGCACTGCTGGGACCTTGAAGCCAGGCCTTCTGAATTCCAAGGCCAGTACTCTCTTCCCATTATGTAGATGCTCGATAAATGTGTCTGGGCGTGGATCAGATCTAGGTCCTAGACTGAGCTGAAAGGGCCTTTAGAGGGCATCTAGTTTGACCCCTTCTTTTTGTAGCTGTGAGTGAAGGCCCAGAGAGTTTGAACAATTTGCTCCAGGTCACACAAGTAGTACAGGGCATGATTTGAACCCAAGTCCTCTGACTCTGAGACCAGAATGCTTCCTACTGCGCCATGTGACAGAACTCTTTATATAACCTGATTGTTATTACCTTCTGGTGACTTAGGAAGGAATGCTGCTGCCAGGACAAAGTAAGAAAGCTTTGCTTTGAATGAAGAAATTTTGGTCAAGAAATTGAAGACATTAGGGGCCTAGATGGTGTGTTGTCATGGCTGCCTTCAGAAGGTCCTCCAGAAATTTGCCTCATCAGTTGTTTTCTCTTCTTTCTGTCTGCTGTCTCTCCTGAGTGTCTCCATCCCTTTCGCTCTCTCCCTAGCTGCTTGACTGGTTTCTTTCTCACATTTTACAAACACTCAGGTCTAAGCCAGTTTGGATCATGGATTGACCCAGCCAAAGCCTCAGCCTGTCATCCTCTATTTTTCTTCCCTTCCGCTGCCAAATTCCCATTCACTTTTCAACACCTTTCAGTCTGGTTTCTAGCCCCACTATGCTGTAGAAATTCCAAGGTTCCCAATACTGTCTTAACTGGTTGTCATGTATCTAGGCCTTATTGAGATCAAAGTGCAGCTGAGAGCTTGGGACTTCCAGAGGAGCATGTGTCCTCATTGTCTGTGAATGATGTAGCATCAAACAGATCTTCTCTACCCCCATTGTCCTTGGTGACTGGCAGCAGACACAGCTTCCTGATAAAGGGCTTCGAGAAGTGACAAAGTTAAGGATCCAGGATGACTTGATTCTGATGCTGCTGAGAAAACTTCCTCTGCTGTGCTCTGTGCACCTTTCGTTTTAGTTCAGTATCTTTTCCATAAGTTCTGCTGTATCAGCTTTTTGATGGTACTTTATTTTCTGTCCGCGCTTCTGCTTGTATTTTACCCTTACCCTTTCAAAATCTTATGGCCCTTAAACAATCATTCCTCTCTTCCCGTTCTGTTGTTCCATTTTTTGTCTTCTTCTGCATACCAATTTGGGCTTTTTGCAAAACTACAATTTATTTTTAATGTGGTAAATTGCAGGAGGGCTATGACCTTTCCTAGTATCTTTTGCTAAGCTTCTAGCCTGTTGGGATGTTCACAGAATATTGACTATCCAGTCCAATAATATGGATGCTCTTTACTCTTCCAAGTCCCTCCTAAAACGGTATTTTAGGAATAGGTTCTCTACAATGTTCATCAGTTCTGTTGAGTGTTATACTATATTGGTTTATGAGTTTAGACTGCAAAAACAGCCAGCCTCAGAGGAAACCATTGAACTTTGATATCAATCTTGGTAGAGAAGTGTCATCATGATTTATCAACTAGAGAGCTGAACTTGGAGCTAAGAAGACATGGGTTCAAATCTGCATCTCTGACACTAGCTCTGTGATCATGGGCAAATCACTTAACTTTTGAACATCAGGCAGTTAACTCCAAGACTTACTAAAACATGGATTGAAGTCTTTCTTGGTAGAAGGTGTTCTCATATCAAGGATACCACAGATTCATGATATGTTGATGGGGAAGCACCACCATGGTACCAGCAGTGACCAAAGCATTTAGCACATTTTCTAAATAATTTTCAGGGTTCTCTTCATCAGTGAAGTTGTATAGTCAGGGCCTAGGGTGCTCTGTCTTTATTTTGCCCCTATTTCAAGAAGGGCTTCAGGTATGTTTGGCTTCACTCATCCCTTGACTCACTCTCTGGACTTATTTTATTTAGATGCATCTGCTTTGAATTAATTGTATCTTCTGGCTGACTAATGAAGGTCAACACATTGGTGGGGGCTCATAAGCCATGATTTTTTGAGGGGGTGCAGAGCTACAGCGTAGCTTTATCTGGGGAATCCACCATGTTCATTGAAAGTTACAGTTATGACTTGCATACTTGCAAAGAAGAGATCAGTCTTAGGATACTGGCTGGTTGCATAGTATACTCTTTGAACAATACACGTATGGTCTCTAAGCCCTTCACGTCAATGTACTGTCCCTGGCAGTGACAGTTGGATGGCATGTGTCATACAAAATAACAGTGGTAGTTGCTGAGGGAGAGGGTTCGTAGGACAAGATTTGGGAAGTGAGATTCTACAGATCACTCATATCTTTACGGTCACTTGACCAATTGAAAGGTGCGGAGACTAGAGAATCCCACTGTATTTCTTCTTCACTGACCATGAAAAAACATGTTATTTGGCAAAGCAAAGCCTCACGTCAAAGGTTCTCCTCCAACAAGGGGGCTCTTGGACATATGTGGAAAATTAAATGCCTCCTCAAGAGACATAATAATGATGGTAATAATAACAACCATAACAATAAGTTTGCTTTTCTATAATGAGCTTAAAGTTTGCAAACTTGCCAAAGCTTGTCTTTTCCCTCCCCATGCCTTCATCACAGACGCCCTTGACATATGTGTAACTTATCTTCATAAGCAGCTTGTAGAGGTAGGAAAGTGGTCATATTAGTCTACAGTCACTGGTGTTTATTGTTATTTTTGTATGGTAATGGTAACGGTAGGATCAAGAACTAAAGGTTGGAGTTTCCTCAGAGGCCGTATAGTTGAACTTCATTTTTACAGATGATGCCACTGAGGCACAGAGAAGTGAAGGCTGCAGTATCGTGCAAATAGTGTCAGGGGACAGAATTAAACTTCGGTTCTGACTTGAAATCCAGTGCTCTTTCC